TAAAAATCTAGAGGCTGCCACCAGCAGATCGCTCTCTCTCCAGTCTGAAGAAGGCAGGACTGCGCTGTCAATGTGCTTACACACGGTGACGTGGGATTCCATCCAAAAGACTCCAATTCGAAAGCGCTGGCAAGGAGATGCGCATTTGGATTGCACTCCTTCATTTCAGCTGGCTTTTCCAATACACCCAGCAGCCCCTGTGCCAGCTGTTATCAACCTTAAGTGCTTTTCCAGGGCACTGGGGCTAGAACCCAGGGCCTCGTGCCTATCAGACAAATGCTTTACCCCTGAATGGCATTCACAGCTCCTGCTTTTCTTTTTGAGATAGGCTTTAGCTAAGTTGCCTAGTTTAGCCTTGAACCTGTTGCTATCTCTTACCTCAGCCTCCTGAGTACTGGGATTACTGATATCTCGCTCATACATGTTTTTTTCTACCATCTTACACCCATATATAACACCAGACATCATGGGAAGTCCTGGTGAACTAAAACATACTCCAGGGAGAGAGGTGAAGCCAGCACTTACTGATGTGAATGAGAACTCCTGGCGTGAACCTGTGTCTGCCCAGACTGACTGACTGATCAGAGCTGGAGTATGTGGAGAGCCTGGAATGTTCCAGGGCCACAGCCTAATATTCACCTTATCTTTGGCTAGCTTCCTTGTCCACCTGTGTTAGAAGTAATAGGCAAAAAAGTTTTAAAATCTATTAACCTAGCAGGACCCTCCCTTCAACTAACCCAAAAGCTAAGAATGTCACCAGATAGCATCTCAGGCCTGTAGAAAACCTTCCTCTATCTTTCTGTAGCCAACTCTCTGGTGTACCTACCAATGTATTTTAAACTTGTCTCCACCCATGACTTTCTTTGTTCTCTAAAACTATAAAACTCCACAAGACTGCTTCCATGTTGGAATATGGAACTTAGGGTCATGTAAATCTGTGTTCCCAGGCCATGGTCTCTCAAAATGGCTCCAGAACAACTGCCTCTTATCCCCTTAAGATGAGAGCTGACAACGGTGTCTAGATCTCGAAGATCTTCCCTGTTCCCCCCACCCTACCCCCTCTGCCTTACAAATGTCCTTTGGGGGTTCTCATCTTCCTCCTGTTACCTGGCCCTTTAGGCCATGGATTTACCACTAAAGGTAATACGACTATTTTCTTTTTCTTTCTTTGAGACCTGGTTTTAGAAATATAACCAGGCACTATTATCCACAGCAGTCTCTTCTATTTGTCCTCACACATTCCCTAGCCAAAATTCCTTTTAGACTAAAGACCAAAGCAGTAGGGTGGAGACTAGTGTCATGAGTGACAGCAACCGACAGGCTACTTCCTAATAGTAGCTGTGTGCCAGGGCCTACAGTCACAGTTTGCAGTTTAGTTTCTCCTTGTGGGTGGGGATTAAAACAGAGTCTTACTATGTGACTTGGCACTGAACTCTGAGCAATTCCCCTGTCTTGTCCCCAAAGGCTGGAATTATGGGTCCAGGTTGCCACACCAGACTGGACTTTCCTTTTACATTTGTCTCTGCTCTGAGACTGTGTCGCCAGCATCTACTCATAAACCAGAAAAAAAAAATGGAGAGAGGGAAGGAGTGGCTTCCTTTCTACACTGGGCTGCTAAGCTGGGAACTGGAGGCCAATGCCTACACAGGTTCCCAGTCAGTTTCCTGCTCTTACAGGGTACATTGTCTCAGGGCTGAGAACAGCCAGCAGGCTCCCTGCTGAAAGTGTATGTGGGGCGTGTGTGTGTGTGTGTGTGTGTGTGTGTGTGTGTGTGTGTGTGTCTAAAAAGGGCACTGAAAACACAGTGACAGAACTGGAACAGGACTGAGACTGAGGCTGGGACTAAAGGACAGGTAAGAGTTCAACAGTGAGAACTGACAATAGTATCTGTCTGACACTATAGCTGACAATAGTATCTCACAGTCACATCCCAGGCCAGTCGGAATGAGCATATTCTAAAGAAACATTTGTGACCCCAAAGAAATGGAACCTCTCCCCACCCCTCCAGGAATTTCATGCTGGGAAGGAAAAGGCCCCAGTCAGAAGAGAACTTGTCTCCCAAAAAGAGATTTCACGCAGTTCTAACTTATTACTTCCAGGACAAGGCTGAGGACCAGGCTGAGACAGGCGAGGAGGTGCCACACCTTGACCAGGGCTGTGGCTTAGTTTGCTTCCTATTGCTGTGATAAAGGCCACAAGCAAAAGCTACTTGTGGATGAATTAAGGGTTTATTTGACTTCATGGGTTACAGTCATCCACTGAGGAAGTCAGAGCTGGAACTCCAGGCAGGAACCAGGAGGCAGGAACTGAGGAAGAGGCCATGAAGGAGTGCCGCTTACTGGCTTGCTCCCCTGTGGCCTGCTTAGCTGTTTTCTTACCTACCTTAGGACAACCTGCCAGGCCATGACACCACCCAATCAATCAATCAATCAATCAATCAATCAATCAATCAGTCGAGAAAGTGCCCTACAGGCTTGCCTTCAGGACAATCTGACAGGGCCATTTTCTCAATTGAGAGTCTCTCTTCTCAGATTGTTCTAACTCCTGTCAAGTTGACAATAACCTAACCAACTCAGATGTTAAACTTTAATCTCACTTCAGGACCATAAAGACAGACCTGCGGAGTCACTGGGTCTTTTTGCCCCTCTTTCCAATGTGGCTGCATTGAATAAATCCTTTTTTCTTTCTGGATTACACTATTAATCTGACACTTGTAATTGACTTTTTGAGGATAGGTGGCCAAACCTGGCTTGGGGCATAGGTTGTGACCCCCAACTTCGATACTATCCAGAGCCCAGGAGGTTAGGGAAGACAGTGCCTGTCATAAAAACAAAGTCAACCAGAAAGGAAGAGAAATGATGTTTGGAGCTGGGGGCTGATGAGGCCACAGCTACCTGCAGCTGCCTCTCAGAACTGCAGTGAAGGAAATGCCAAGCCCCAGAGGAGGGCTTATGTGTGACCCTGTAACCTAACAGATTGCAGGTGACAGAAGTCTAGGACAGATGACACCCTAATTCTCACTTCCCCAGGAGAGTGTATAAGCCCCGGCTACCAAGACATCTGCACACTGCCGGCGGCACTCCCCAGTACCACCATTCATGTAATGGGTACAGCTTTTTCTCTTTCCTTTTTGTTTGTTTGTTTGTTTAAGACAGGGTTTCTCTGTATTGCCTTGGCAGTCCTGGACTCTCTCTGTAGACCAGGCTGGCCTCAAACTCAAATAAATCCACCTGCCTCTGCCTCCCCAAGTCCTGGGACCATAGGCGTGTGCCACCACGCCTGGCTGGGCACACCTTAAATAAATGTGCCCCTCCTCCCACTTTCTAAGTCACTCACCAGCAGGATGCCTTCCTCTCTTCATGTCAATGTACTAGTTCCACCCACTCACGCCAGGAATTAGAGACAGCCTGACTCCAAGTATTCACCGTGACATACTCAACTACGACCACATGGCATGAAACCCTCCCCTTCTCAAACCTGTAGGAAAGGACCTCACTCTGTGGCATGGCATAAACTCTCCTTAACTCCCCCCCCCCGGCTACGTTGCCAACCTATGGCATATATGTGTATGGTGCTACTAACTATTCCAATGAGTCTCTTATCCAAAAGGATGATCATCTGCTTCACTGTGTCCCCCTGAGCTGCAAAGCCATCACCTTTCAGTTACCTGGCCAGGGTTAAGAAGGAAAATGTTTTTATAGGACAAATGGTGGTGAAGAGAAGATGTAGCTGGGCTGAGGACGGTATGAGCCGGTTCAAGCACACCCACATGTCTCAAAGAGGGGCTGACTATGGGTCGCAGTGGGTGTCTGATGGACCCTCTTTAGAGGGCCAAGCTTTCTGCAAACCTGTCCCTAGCTGGATGCTCCAAGAATAGGAATCCTCAGAATTTCCTCTTGCAACCAGCAGAAGCAACTCACTTAACAGGATGTTATAAATGCGAATTCTTGAGACCAGTCTCAGAGCTAGTGTTTAGAGACTTACTATTTTGTGCCCTACCTAAATTTACCCTCAGGGCAGAGATGGGGCCTCCAAGAAGCAATTATGGTTAAACGAGGTCACAAGAGTGGGTCCCTGATCCATTAGGAGTAATATCCTAAAAGACACCAGAGAGCTCATTGGCTCTTGCCCATAAGCATACTCAGAGTGAGTGGCTATCTACAGCCAGATGAGAGCCTTGAAGACAAACAGCCTGAGTGAAACCCTGACCTAGGGCTATCCAGCCTCCTGAACGGTACAAAATCCCATCTGTGGCATTTTTGTTAAGAGTGGGCTGGGCTGAAAGGAAACGTCCAGGGTGGGGTCCAAACATCTATGCGTGAGGAACCCCGCATGTGACTTAGACAAAAGGTCACTCCCAACACTGGCCTAGTCACGGGCTGAGGCTGGCTTAAAACACCCATGCTTCATGGATGCAGAAAATCCAGGAAAGCTCAGAGGGAAGGTCTATTCCAAAGACATGGACTGAGATTTCTCCTACCCAGAGCCAGGTATGTAATGGCTCACGGCCATCACTCCTCAAGCATGTCCCGCGGTGCTCGGCACACTTCCTCAGGCAGGAGATCCTGACTGGGCAAGCAGCACTGACCTCATCTGCTCTCTGAGACCTGAGAGTTCCAGTTCATTTCTCCCAAGGACGGCTTGCAGGAGCTAGCCAGACACCCTGCCTCTGAAAACCATACAGCTCTTACCAGAGCATGAGGAACATGCCTCTTTGTATCACTTGCCTTCACAGTGATATGCAAATAGCCAAAGGTGGCTCTTTCCACCTAAAGGTCTGACATATGTGAAGATAGCTGTTTCCCTGGTAGGAAAAAGAGAAGTGGAGTCCATCCCAGGTTGGTGTGAAAGAGTTAAGAGGGTCCTCCCAGGGTTCAGCCAGGTGAATGCCCTTCCAGAAGAAAGGCACAGCTGGGTACCAGCCTGGCAGTCAGCTGGTGCAAGCCAAGAAACAATCTCTCCCCAGACAAAAGCAGCAATGGGGGCAGCCCCACACTTACTTCCAGGATTGTCCATTGTTCCACAACAATAGCGTCATAGCCCTGCGTGGTTTTGCCATCTTCTGTGGAAACCGCTTCAAAGATGAATACTCCATCTGTTAGGCCATGGAAGGAATCTGTGGAAAGAACAACAACAACAAAAAAGCCAGTTGGGCGGGGGTTGGGTGTGCGTGTGTGTAAGCTGTCTGTGGCAGAAGTCTTACAAAACAGCAGAAATTTTCACTGCATTCATTAATAATCCCAATGAGAACATCTTTTCAGAATGTTAATTAAAGATGGCGCACACAACCATAGCATCTAGCCCCATCAGAATGAATGAGACTAATTTACCTCACGCTTTTGAATAATATCCTTGATTTTATGAGCTCAAATTTCATCGTCGGCAATCACCATCAGATTTATGTGCTTACCTTCCTGTCATGCTCCAGGGTCAGGATGCACTGGGAAAAACTTAACCAGGGCAAAACGCAGCCGCCTGCACGGATTCTAGAGGAAAACTACATTGGAATTTTTACAGAAGGCAGGGTAGACTGAACACACCTGATCTGAGCTTATCAGTTGCGCTCCGCATGCATTCATTCTGTCTGGGGTGTGGTGTGGTTGCTATACGGAGGATACTTCCGGCAGCCCTTGTCAAGAGTTGGGGTTCGGGAGGGGGCTTCCCAAATGATTTGCCGTTGGAAATGTTCCTGGGGCACTGCCAGTCAAGAGACTGGGTAAGGTGTTCTGTACAGTTCAACAAGCCTGGTGGTGATGGGCTGCGGATTTGAGACTGTCTTAGTGACAGAGGGGTCTAAAGGGGCACAGGGCAGAGCCTCTGCCAACCAGAACATGTGCCTTCTGCCTTCTTTGGGGCTGTGGTGCGGTTCCTGCTAGATTCGTTTAGATACGACTGTGAGAAAGAACAATCTAGATGCTGGTGACCTGACTCCACGAAAGGGTCCCTTTTAGTTACTTGTCTACTCATCTGTGAAACTAGCATTTGGACAGATGATCCTTTTCGCCCTACAGTCTTATTCTGTAGACGCTGCTCATTCTCAACGAACTGCTGACGTCCTGTCCTCCAGCTGAGTCTCTGGAAGAGGCTCCAGGCTCCTTCGCTTGCTCCCTCTGACTCCCAGAGAGGCACAGAGGGAGAGCCAGGCAGGAAGAGAGCTCTAACTGGAAAGAGAAATTGTTGCCACTTGTGTTCTGTGCTTCTAGCCTCAAGAAATGAAGGGGAATAGGTCTACTTATTATTGAAGCCACCTACCCTGTGGGCTTGCAAACACACACCAACCTGCTTTTATGCACATTTTGGGATTCTGAACTCAGGTCCTGATGTTTGCAAAGCAAGAACTTTACCCACCAAACTTTCCTTAGCACCCATGTTTAGTATTTTTGAATTAATTTTATAAATAACACTTGCAGAGAAATACTCTTGATGGACATTGATTATTGTTATAACAGATTAAAAGAAGCAGGATGTGAGATGTCAAAAGGATGGGCTTTCTGGGGCAGGCACTTCAGACCTTGTTAAATTGCTCCCTAAGTTATGCAGCTAAAATTCTCCTAAACACTGTTAACGTTCCTCTATCCCTACACCTCTGCGGGCACTGAACATTTTCTTTTCAAACTCTGCCAATCTGATAAAAAAAATAAAAAAAAAATATATATATATATATATATATTTTTTTTACCAGCTATGGAAAATTAACATCTAGTTTCTGTTCTTTGCTCATTTCTATTGGGATATTAAGAGTTTTTAGATATTGAGAAAAAATTTATACATAAGTAGTAAGTGTAGCCCTTGATTTATTTTTGTTGTTTCGAATAACTTTCCCCTGTTGCTGACTTTTTAATTTTATTTGTGGAGAATATAAAAGCTGCAGGTTGCTATGTACTGACAGTTTTGAGTCCTTTCCTTTGTGACTTCTAGAAAACACTGGCACTTCCATGAATGCCAGCGCGAGTCATAGGTTTTCTAATTTGTCTCCCTTCCCTTTCTGTGACAAAGAAAATTATCATTATTATGACTTATCTCATTACAAAATGTTCTTTTCAGATATAGTCTCTGCAAAGCGCAAGTGGATCCTGGGCCAGCCAAAATGACAAGAGCAGGTTCTACAAAAGACCCCGGTTCAAAAAGAAAAAAGGTGGGGAGACTGGTGGCAGACTCCTGACACTTACACAAAGCACCCCCTTACACACACACACACACACACACACACACACACACACACATACACACACAGCCTTAAATAACCTAAATAGTTACCACAGAAAACAGTTAAGTGATCAAATTGTATTGTTGGGCCTGATTCATGTGACCCCCAAAAGACCACCAGGAGTTGAGTCCATTGCAAAACACATGAGGATCTTTTTATTACAAGCTTGAGCTTGTGCTCACACCCTCACTGACACAGTGGTTGAGAGTAGAGCCCTGTGCTCAGGGTAGGTGGATAATTTATAGATCCCAGTCCCTCCCAGCATGCCCAAAGCAGGGGAATTCCAGCCTGGCAATTATCTATTGGTTGAAACACAAAACGGATGTTGCATTTTGAACTGATTGGCTGTGCGGAGGCCCCCAAACCATTAAGGTCTGACTTCCCTTGTTTGGCTGTCCTAGGGGAGAGGGGCGATCTGAGCCAATTTCCTAGCAACTGTACCTCTAGTGGGCAGAAAAAGAATGCAGTAAGACTGGTGCCTCCCCACAGGTGGCTGGACATGTCTCCATCTGTCTGGCCTTTGTTCAGGCTTGTGCTTTAAACTTCAATCTACTAACCCAAAAAACTAATTTTGAATTCTTTGGTCTCAAAAAATTACCACAGGAATTTAATCAGAGAATACTTAAGAAACAATATATAGAAAAAAAAATATGGACACAAAAGTGTCATTTGGGCCAAATGTAAACTTTAAAAAGCATTTGAGTGTGCATGTATATGTATGGGTGACCACAGCATATGTGGTGGCATGAGTTACAGGCATTTGTGAGTACCCCGACATGGGTGCTGGGGTCCCAGCAAAGGTATGATAAAGCATCTGTTGATTGCCCTTATAGGCCAGGCATGCCCTGGAGGGCTGGTGAGCAAATACGGTCCCTGCAGCCTTAGAGCTTAGCATGCAGTGGGGAGACACTAATAGAATGTCAGAACTGACAAACAGAAATCTAAAGTGGGGTGAGGGAGTGAAGGTAGAGGCTGTGGCGGTGGCTGTTTATGAAAGGGACATTTGAACGAGGGCTCCCTGTTTTGAGCAGAGACATTATGGCGGCTATTTCTGTTTAATGTGACACAGTCTAAAATCATCAATCAGGGACTGTCGAGATCAGGCTGGCCTGGGAGGTGTTAGGCACTAGCATGATTCCTTCACGATGAGAAGAGCTGTATACTGTGGCTGGCACTACTCCACACACAGGGAATCCTCAAGTGCATGTGGGTGTGGTGACCTGAGCACAGCCTGCATTAATTCCCCATTCTCTGCCCTTTACTGTACCGATGTGTAATGTGACCAGCTGCTCTGACCTGCTATCTTGACTCCCTTGCTCCGATGGACTGTAACCTGGCACCTTGAGCCAAATAAACTTTGAGACACTTTATTAAGACATACAGGAGTGCGCTACGCAAGCAGGAGATACAGATTTACAGGGTTTGTGAGTTCCTCGCAGAGAGGGGACAGCCTACATGCAAAATGAAGAGTTGGGGGCGGGGGCAGCCAATAGCAGGTGAACCACGGACTCCCAGGAAAAGAAGTCCAGCTCAACTTCAAGTTCCTGGTAACACTCCCAGGGGAGAGTCCCTGCCACAAAAAGAGGTACCCAAGATGGCTAAGACAAAGCTTCCCCAGTCCGGATCTATGGGTGCTCCACCCTGGAAGCCACACAGGAGCTCCTCCAGGAGTGCAGTGTGGCACACAGTTTCCTAGACCCCTGCAAAATGTCAGAAGTGGCCCTCTGCCTCTACAGGGTCCGTTTCTGGAGAGTCAGCCAACAGCAGACAGAAAACATGAAAATCTGTGTTGAACAGCAACACCCTTTTCCTTCGCCATTAATCCCTAAGCAACATGGCACACCAAACCACTTAGCATCTATCTAACACTTCAGTAAATACTGTAAGTCATCGCTGGTGATTTAAGGTACACAGGAGGCTTTGTGTACTCGGCAGGCACACATACCTGCAGATCTGAGCATTTGAGGAATTCCCTGAACCAAATCCCTTGGATACTGAGGGATGACAGCCACCCACTTTCCAAAGCCTTTGCTTATATCAATGAAAGCCCACCCCTTACCCCTTAAAATGCCCCTGCTGAGCTCTAAGCACCAAAATGCCCAATTCAACACAAGTCATAGAATGGTGTTTAGTCTGTCCACAGTACAGTGAGGCAGAGTTGAGACCCCATGGTGGAAGGGATGAATTCAGCACCTCCAGATGTCTATCTCATTCATGTCTGCCCTCCACTCCAGCCACTGTCGGCCTCCTCCCCACCCCACGCCTGCTGCTCTACCTTGCTCTCCTGAGTGCCAAAGGCTGAATTACCTACTTGCCTACAACAAAGCAAGTTCAGAGCAGCTGTCAAAACTTGGTCATCTGTAACGGCAAAAAACGTCAGAGAATGCCAGGGGACGGACAGCAGGGCTTTTAAGGAACCGTTGTTTTGATGGTCTTGTCTACTTTCCTTCTCATTACCTTCACTGCTCAGCCTCCCTGAAATGTGCGTCAACCCGGGTGTAAACAGTTCCACTTCAGAGTGAAGACTCCTGATGTAAAAAGGTTAAACCATCCTCCACCTATGGAAAGAATTCTATCATCACTGTATTTTTATCAAAGATGCTTTCCAAGAGTGCATAAAACTGATGCGTAAACATTTGATAGCTGGTCTTTTGGAAAAAGGCCACCTTAACATTCCAAGCTTGTGATTTGCAAGAAGAACAATGGAGAAGATCTGCCACACCATCTTAAGTCTTAAATTCTAGCTGGGCACGGTGGCGCATGACAGTAATCCCAGCACTCAGAGAGGCAGAAACAGGAGGATTTTTGTGAGTTTAAGGGCAGTCTGGTCTACAAAGGGAGTCCAGGACAGCCAAGGCTACACAGAGAAACCCTGACTCGAAAAACCAAAACCACAAACAAACAAAGAA